CATTCTTACCTACCCTACCTTTTAAAAACCTGTTAAACCCCAAGGTCCCCGTCAGCGGGGACCCTGTTTTTTTTTTCACGACACTGTGTCTCAGGGGATCTTAATATTTAAGAACCTATTAATGTGTTATACCAGATTAACGGAAATAATCTCAGCTAACTGACGATACAAACCATTTTTACCAAAACAAAACAAAAAACACAAGTCTCATAAGAAGCATCTAAATGACCCCTTAGCGAAAAATGCTAACGGACATTGGCACAGAACTCAAGATAAAAGTACCCTTATTCTTTCACACACACATACGGGTTTTGGGCCGAGGGCGACACCGTACTTCCGGTATCAACTATTTCACACGAGGTGCATACAGAATATCATAGTCGATTGCCTTAATCAATATAGTCAACTCTAAAATACCACATATATGCATTGGCATGATAATATTATTGTGACAAGTGGGGTATTCACCTGGTGTTTCCAGAAGATAGACGTAGATGCAGCCAAAATCGACCGAAGGCCACTTTTGAGGGTCGTAATTCCATACATTGTACATCCAACAACCCACACAGCTCTAGTTTACGCTGGTAACGACCTAGAGCACACCCCTCAAATCCAGAGATGTAACCCGAAGACATGCAGCGATTTCTTCGGTCGTTAATTCAGAAAAAAAACCTAGCGCGCTCTGCCTGGCTACATAAGCTAGCTGTTTATATTAGCATTCCCAGGATTTTTGCACCTCCAAAAAAATGGCGTCTTTATAAAAAATATATGGCGCGCGTTCGATTGTGGGTAGCTGTGACGTCACTGTGTGTGAAAGAATATTACTTATCGTAGCTGCACATACAAGATATCCGATTAAAACTGAGGTTCCACAGATTATTTAGGTATATAGTATCATCACTGAGTGATCCGAACTCGCGACAGGGAAGCAAACACAGACATCACAACACGTACCTTTACGGAGCTTAGGGAGATCGTCTCACCGTAGCTGTCAATCTGATCAAAAGACGTGCATTAAAACGAGAAAAAAAGCGGCTGAATCGGTTAATCCATAGGTTTTTAATGTCTCTGTATAAACAAATTATTTCATTTATAATCCATAATTCCATTTGTATGTAAAAATCGGAGAGCAAAAGTTAGCTGCTAATGGTAGCCACCAGAGTGGCTGCTGCTTCCGGTCTAGGATATGCGGTAGTCTAACTCACACACATTACCAAATAAGCACTATGTGGGAGTTCCCCTCGATTCCATTGGCTCTGACGGTCAGAAAGAGATGTCACATGTCAAAATCCAGCAAGGGGGGCCAGAGATATGAAAAATCCACCCAAATGGCCCCAGAAGAGGGTTTTTTTTGCTAAATCTGTCTAAAAAGGTCAAATATCACTTGTTTTGCATCAATCTTGATACAGGGTACTTATTATATGTTGTACTTTGGATTCCTAAAGCTTTTAGTCTACTAACCCATCATCCAAGGTTAGTTTTCACTATAAGTACAACATATTTTTTCGACGGACACTATAATTTACAGTTTTTTACCATGTTCAATCTGAATTTTCTTTAAAATAAAAAACATCTATATTGAATCTGACTTTTCTACATCCAACTCACAGGTTTATCATTACTTCCCTTTTAGAAGGGAAGATATGGTCATTTGTTCTGGGAATGTCATTTTCGAGCCTGAAACCTGCAAAACAGGCTCGGGGTTTAACAGGTTTAACCCCGAGCCTGTTTTTCAGCTGGATTTTGACATGTGACATATCTTTCTAACCATCAGAGCCAATGGAATCGAGGGGAACTCCCACATAGTCCTTATTTGGTAATGTGTGTGTATTAGACTGCCGCATAGCCAAGACCGGAAGCAGCAGCCACTCTGGTGGCTACCATTAGCAGCTAACTTTTGCTCTGCGATTTTTACATAAAAATGGAATTATGGATTATAAATGAAATAATTTTTTTATACAGAGACGTTAAAAACCTATGGATTGACCGATTCAGCCACGTTTTTTCTCGTTTTAATGCCATTGAACACGTATTTTGATCAGATTGACAGCTACGGTGAGACGATCTCCCTAGAAGCTCCGTATCAGTTCGGATCACTCAGTGGTGATACTATATACCTAAATAATCTGTGGAACCTCAGTTTTAATCGGATATCTTGTATGTGCAGCTACGATAAGTAATAAGGGTACTTTTATCTTGAGTTCTGTGCCAATGTCCGTTAGCATTTTTCGCTAAGGGGTCATTTAGATGCTTCTTATGAGACTTGTGTTTTGTTTTGGTAAAAATGGTTTGTATTGTCAGTTAGCTGAGATTATTTCCGTTAATCTGGTATAACATATTAATAGGTTCTTAAATATTAAGATCCCCTGACACAGTGTCGTGAAAAAAAAACCAGGGTCCCCGCCGGATTTGGGATTTTTGCATAAAGTTGTGATTTTTTAATGTATTTATTGGTGGTTTGTTTTCTGTTAGCCTTTTCAATGGTAATTCAGAATAGCTAAAGACTGTGTATGTGTTCTCTCTGCTGTGTTCAGATGAGTGTCTATGGATTAACCATCAGATTGTTTTTGTATTTTCCTCATCTCCAGCGTGGTGCTCATTACCATAGCAACAGCATAAATTGCTAAAACTGCAGTAGGCCTACTATGTATTGACCACATGGATGCAGGGAGAGATTAAAAGGCTGAAATTGTTTTTGCAGTGAATGGAAAAAGTGACACATACAATGCAAATGTAATGCCCTTATTATCTGTTACAAAGTATACTATTGTTGAGTTTTCAGTTCATTCTTTCCAGATCTGACCTCAGGTTTTTCTTAGCACCTTTGTGTAGGCCTATGTGGTGTTAAATGATTTGAATGCATCTAGTTTTACTCCTGCTGCAAGCCTCTTTTTACAATTGCAGCAAATTATTAAAGGTACTTTTGGGGCAGCAAAGCACACTTTTTTTACTTTTGTTAGCAATCAAAACGGTATGTTGTTAAATATAAAGCCCTCAAATAATGATACGATTGTATAGTGTTTTATAGTGATCTCACCCTGTAAGGATACCAAATTGACAGTGACAGACATACTTTACTATTACCCAGTTGTAACACTATATGTTTCAGTCAACAATCTTAACGTTGTTTTCAGGTGATATAAGGCACATGATTGCTCACGGAAACAATTTGGAAGATAGCGTAACTTTGTTGAATCAAGTCCAACATGAAGTGTTGCAGGCAGCGTTGTTTTATTTTACTGAGTTGGCCAGCGGAACCCATGATTTTAGCTCATTCTGTTGGAGAAAAAAAGGCCCTCAAAGGAATTTAAATGTAGGCCTGGCCTACTCTGAAAACTCTTAAAGGCATTGTTATTTGTGGCAAAAACCAAAATGTATGGCTGGAAAGTGGAAATGCAATAACTCCACCTAGAGGGGGCATTGAGAAACAGCCAAATAAAAAAATCTGTCTGTTCTGTAAAATGTTCATATGCAGTGTGGTGTTTGGTTTACTGTTTAAATATTGTATTTAACCGATCACTTGAGAAATCTACTTTTACCTCAGCATGACCTCAACAAATCCACACCCTTTGGGCTTCATCTTCTTATCATGCCTGTTAATGTGATACATTATCTAAAGGGAAAATACAACTGTTCATACATGTGAAGCTTGTCCTATATGTCAATATGTCTGAACCTGCCTTGGATTTTAATGCTTAAAAAAATGTGTATCTACTGTTAATGAAATTAATTACATATTCGGGGTAGAAAATAACAAATATTAAAAGGTTCCTCATTTCCTTTTTGCAAGGAGAAGGAAACAAAAAGAAAATGATAAATATGTGTGATTGGTCATTAAGGCTCTTCGTTTTCGTATTACGTCTCATTTAAAACAGTGTCAAATAATATTATATTCCAAATAGTTCTTATATTCTTGCTTACATTTATTTATTATGAAGGACACAAGTGTGACACAAAAAAAGGAATAAAAAAGGTGGCGTTTTTATTTTATATTGATTATGATCATTAAAACATGTGTTCATAAAATAACTGTTTGTATTACTTCAGTAAATATAACATGTCATTTAAAATAAAATGCTTTATTTTTCTTTGTAATATTCCCGATGTGTGTTTATTTGACAATATGCAAGCGTTTATGCTTGTATCTTAATTTATGCAAAATTCCTGTTGCACAAATGCAGTGAAACAGTCATATTCATAATGTGTAACGGACATGGTACACAACAACACCTGACCACATTGTAGCAGTTGTAATGCAAATGACACATGAAACACAAAAAATGATCTGGACAAATGAATAGTATTTTATTCATTTTCTTGGTGTACATTTAGACATCACTATACATCAGTGGCGGATGGCTGTGGGTAAGGTCTGGATCTCTCAGTCGTGGTGCAGCAGCTCGGGTCTCATGTTTGTTGTCTCTGTACATTATGCTTCAGACTTTAACACACATTAACACACATGGTTAGATTACAAGAATAAACACACTTCCCTAATATTTTAGTCACATAATTTAATAGTTAGCGCTCTATGTATATATCGGATCACTACTGCCATTGAGATAATAACAGGATATCGATGGCATTAAGGGATTGTCTGAAAATTACTGGGTGGTTAGGGGGCATAAACTTAGTTTTTTAAAAAAAAGATCCACCCTAACATTATTATTTTCTTTCCTTTCTTAAAATTGACGGGCTGTTTTAGAGGATTTGTTTAATCACGAACAAATAAAAAAGTCAATGTGTATGCCATGTTTTATTAAAACTGGGACAGTAGCTACTTTATATTAGCTACTAGTTGATGATGGGAGTGAGTTAAACTGAATACTGCAGTGCTGTCCTTTGCATAGACTCAATTATCCCACCTGGAAGTTATCTGTTATAAACTATGTCATTGTCATTTTCAAGCTTATTTATTTTTAAGTGATCAAATGTCATTGTAACATGTATATTTCAGTCAGCATGGTTAAGTTGCCAAAAACGATGTATTACCTTTAATTTTAATCATACTCCAATGATCGTCTTCCATTTCGTGGCTGGAAATGAATAACAAAATTGTATTGAATTTCATCATATTATCCTTTGGGAATTCGTTTTTTTTTTATTTATCTCCTGACATTAACAAGTTCATACCCGATAGAGAAAGTAACCTCTGCTCTGGATTACTCCAGGTCCCTGGACTTCACCCTGTATAGACACAAAACCCAAATAATTGAACTGGAATTAGTTCAACTTTAGTTTCAACTTTTTTTCCGTGTTACCTCAAATGTTCTCCCTACAACGTAAACATTACACATAAAACACTCACATCCAAAACAAACACTGTCCACGTTTCTCACTCACATTTCCTGTGTGTCCAATTGGTGAATGTCAGCGCTTGATAGCAATGACGAATACGTTCTCCTTTTAGATGCACTCATTTTAGACCATAATCGCTCGCAGCTTGGGAAAGAACAACTAATGTAGACTGTAGTCGTACAGAGGGTGAGTAGAGCTGCCCGCCATAACACAGCATTATTGGCTTGTAAGCAGGAAGGGGAAAACATGTAACAAACATACTTCAATGGCAATATTTGCTATTTAAGAACAATGCAGTTCCAATGTGGATGTTACCATTTTATAATTTCGATTGATCTGATCTCTCTGTATTTTCAACCAAGGAACCTATTAAGAGGTCTGAATCAAACCAGAAATTGTAAGGGATAGCACTATTTGCATACATCTTTTTGTGTGCTAATCAGTGACTTAATTTGAAAAGCAACAAAACGAGTAATGGAAAGTTAACTGATGTGGGTGGTACATACGTGCATTGAGAGTCCTCTCTCTCTTCTGATATGGAGTTGAGAAACTAGACGCAGGAGAGGGTGCAACACAGGGGTCTGACAAACACACAAACACAGATAGAGCCAGACAGCTCCGTATGGAGTCGAAAGAGGCTAAGAGATGATCTCTGTTTCATCTCCAGTAAACACAGGAAAACATGCAACTCAAAAGTACAAAAATATAAAATGCTTTCCAATGCAGCCTCAGCATCACATTCTGCATTATTCGTAAACCAGCCATGGAGCAGCATAAGACAAAATGGATTCACATTTCATTTAAGAAATATGGTTTGTGGCAATAGGAAAGTCAATGTCAATGTGGATCCTGGGGTGTTTTTATCTAGATGCACATAAATAAAAATGAAAACAATGCATGTATATATTCCAAAAATGTTTAACCATATATATGCATAATCTTTGCTTTCACTTCACAAACAGATACTACTGACAAATAAAAATATCAAGAAGGATACTTTTTAATTGTCAAAATGTACATAATATATCTAATTACCTTAATCGTTAGGGAACTTAAATACTTATTCTGAAAGTAAACAACTGCTACCACATTTTGAAGTGTTAATATTATGTTTCTGCTGTGTTCCTTTGTTTCTTAAATATTTATTCTTTAAATAAAACTTGATTTGATTTGATTTGATTTCCTTTGTTTCTTGATGTTTTCTTGACATTTCTGTGTGAACAGCCAGAGGTATACAGACCTTATTTAACTAAACATGCAGAGCACAGATCACATTTAAACCCTGAAAATGTGAAAATATTTTCATTTATTAGCTGAGGACAGTTTATGTGGGGATATCCATGTTGCAGTATTTGTCTGCATGCATTGGTGCTTTAGAGGTAAATGTTTACCTCCATCATGCAATGTGATTTGTGGAATGGTGTGCTCATGTCTTACAATAGCTCTGCGCTACATGTGGGCATTTGAAAAGTACTTGGCACACAAAAAATGCAGGAAATATATTTGTAAAACAATCTGAGGCACTTTCCTAAATCAGGCCACATACTGTGACGGTGGCGATTTGTCTATTAACTTACTTATCGCGCCCTCTGACAAGGCAGGGCCTTGTTATAGAGTAATTAAATAAAAACTGCACATACAGTGCATGACATGAAACACAAATAAGCCGACACATTTTCAGGGTTTAATTGTGTTGCTTTGTTGTTTACATACCCTTTTACTTTGTTCTTGCACTTTCATCTCCTGAAAAGACACAACATGTGTATTTTAGTTGATGTAAATCCTTGTGCTGTAGTATCTTTAGTCAAACAGTATGGACTATCATTGTTTCAATGTGCCATTTTGTATTGAATTAAAAAATAATAATAATATATAATAATGTTATATAATGACATACTGTCCCTATTAAAAGATAATCAAGTATTGAGTATACCTTTGACTTCCGAAACAGCATCAAGACACAGAGTTCTTCTAAGACACCAGATGCCTGATTCCAGAAAGAAAAAATGGCTGTTAGACAATGTTTAAATAAGTACATTAACCTTGTAATATACATGTACAAAATAAGAAAAGAATAAGAAAAACAGAATCACCCAAATCTTTATGTCTGCAGAGAGGTAGGATGAGCACGCAGCGTCTATCTGTGGAGCATCACAGAGGATGATGGACAGGCTCGCAGACAGCAAGGATAAAGAAGGAAGATAGAATAAAATGACGCTGCGTACCTGGCTGAGTAGCTGCCTCTGATCTGTTAGGGCTTGCTGAAGTTCTGCTGGAGCACCTTCAGGTTTTTTTTTACACAAAAATACAGTTATTATTATACAGCTAAAACTTCTATGTATATGAATGATCCTTACACAATACAGTACATTTACATCTGAAGGTAACAGGGATGCTATACAGCCGAAGCTTTGCTGGAATGATCAACAGAATCTCTTGTATAATTTTCAGCTTTGACATGATTGCAGTGGATGTCATATTAGCAGCGGTAAAAGCGTTACTGTAGAATATGTGAGGGAGTTAAAGTCAAACATGTTGATGTAAGAAGATAAGTCAACAGCATCACTGCGCCAAAACTGATGTTTGATCTAAAAAGCTCATATTTATATTTATGCAACTTTGACATCATGACATCTCTGTTAAAGCCCATCTAAATTAGATCCGCAACAAATAGTCTACTCATGGATTTAAATAGAAAAATAATGTCTACAAATATTTAAATACTGTATAAGTTATTTTTCATGCCAAAAATCCACTAAACAGCCTCCATTGTATATTATATAAATATATATATATTTGGGTTCTGGACATACAACAACAGCAATGATTTATAGACCAAAACAGCTTTTGAAAACATCTTGTTAACCATATTATTAGATTATTTAGTATTTGTTCAAACTAAAATGTTATTACTTATTTGATTTATTTCTGTAGTTGTGGTTTTCCAAAATTCCAAACTTACATTTGAGAAGAATAGGCAAACAATTAGATAGATAGATAGATAGATAGATAGATAGATAGATAGATAGATAGATAGATAGATAGATAGATAGATAGATACATACATACATAATGAAATAAATGACTTACACGTGCACACTGGGATGGTGAGTATGAGCAGGGCAGTGAGCGTACCGCTGGCCGTGCTGCTGACGCTGCTCGGGCTGCTGGAGGCAGAGCTCCGGCTCTGGCTCTGGAAGGTCCTCATCTCCCTCTTCCTATCTCTATCTCGCTCTCTCTGTGGCCTTTGTTGTCTGTTTTTCTGGTTGTGTGCGCTTGACTTCTTGCTCTTCTGAGAGTTTCTATCTCACGTCAGATAAATATGAAGGCTTGGGTCACACACCCCCCTCACGTGCTGACTCTTGGCTGCGTCATTAAAGCCCCCTCGCGCGTAAAAAGTGTTGAGCTTTGATCAACAGGTTGGCTGAACGTAAAAGCTTCAGTGAGCTGAGAGCGGTGATGAAGAGATAGAACATTCAGAGTAAGGTAACTTGGGACCATAACAAAGGATCAAGCAAATACATGAATTAATCATGCTAAACATCCTCATGGAACATGCTTATGTTGTTTATATCTTCACATTAGCTTTGTTCACATTTGCTTACACTACTTTTGATTTATCTTAACTTATGGCTATAAATGCAATGTGTGGTATTGAACGGTATGTTTGTTATGCTTGTTCCTTGTCTTTTAGGACTACCTGTGTTTACACCTTATGTTCACTTTTTCATTGTTTAGCTTTGATGATCAAGAAACATAATTTCATTATATAAAATATAATGTAAATCTATTACACACTTCCTTTTGTGATCGTTACGCTGTGGTTGAACCTGGGAGAGATGTTCATACAATACTGTGTTGCTGTGGTTTGTTTTGTTGCATTGCATTGTATTTTAAGTGTATGGATGTTATTTGAGGCTATTTCCCCAACTTCATGTCAGAAAAGCAGCTATACATGCAGGGCCGTTTCTAGCTTTTTGGGGGCCCTATGCAAGATGCTGTTTGGGGGCCCTAGTTTTGACTACAATGGGGGGGATTCCGAAGCCTTTAAAGGTCCCATATCATGGCCATTTCCACTGATCATAATTCCATTGTTGAGGTCTACTAGAATATATTTATATTGTGCAATTTTCCAAACTCACATTGGTTCCTCATACAGCATCTCTGTAAACTACGTGTATTCACTGAATTTCACTCTCTGCCTTTAACGGCTCGTTGTAGCTCCAATAGCTCCAGCCCCCACCCTCCCTGTGAGCACAGTGTGCTCTGATTGGTCGGGACGTTGTGAATCGAGCTGAGCTCCGTGGAGGTGTGTTTTCCTTGTTTAGCGATACACAGCGAAACACAGCCAAACTCACCCTGAGCACACACAAAGTCACAGCCGAAGTAAAAACAATAAGTGTGGCTTGATATTGAGTAAGAAAAAGGTTGATAAACGCTGAGAGAATGGGTCTGCAGAGAGAATTTCGCCACAATCCCAACTGTCTGTTATCAGCCTGCAGCCAGGGAGGAGAGATCAGCAGAGCTGCCTGCACTGAGTGTGTGAGGAAGTCCGTGGATTGGTCAATTTGGACCAATCAGTGGGGGCTTAACGTAACGGCTCCGCGGACGTAACTTAACGGCTCCACGGATTGGTCCATTTGGTTCCGGGTAACGCATGACATCATGAGTTACCCGGAAGAATCAATGGACAGTGACGTATCTCCAACGAGGCGTTTTGGGGAGGTATTTTCTGTGTTAGAGTTTTACTCGCTACAGGGTGTACTTTAAGGGTTTTGACTCTGCAGACCGTTTACATGCATAAAAACCTTCATAACACACAAGGGGACGGGTAATAACCGGAAAAGCATGACATGGGACCTTTAAGATGATCTGTGGAGATGCATCAATCTGTTACACTTTAATAGGAAAACAGGCTAATTTCACGAAAACCAAGCAATTGAAAATTACAAAAAATGATATTAAAAAGGTAAACAATAAGGCTCCTCTATGTCAATAAATGCAAGAGATGCAGCATTTTCTCAGCTGTCAGCCCAACGATGATTTGGACTTTATTACCCCAAAAACCCAAGCCACAGCTTTGCTATCATTGCAGTTTAGTCGTGTTTATATCCTACAATGGATTTGTAAGCATATAATGCTTCACCGAACACTCACAGGAGGGGGCTTGGCTGTCTGCAAATAAAGATGGCTCATTTGAATTCTCCCCAAATATATTGAGGCTGAACCTGAACTTTGAATTCTCTGCTCCCATCATAATCTTGGCGATCTTGTTAAAATTGTTAATGCAGAATTAACTGTATGTAACTGGTTTGCAGTTAATAAATTATCCCTTAATGTGGCCAAAACAAATTACATGTTATTCAATACAAAGTCTGAGAGTAGAAATGACTGCATTATACGGATTTGCAATACAGAGATAGAAAAAGTTGGTGCATGTACATTTTTAGGACTGCTTGTTGAAGAAAAACTCAATTGGAAGCACTATATAAATTATGTACAGACTAAACTGTCAAAAACAATAGGTATTTTGTATCATACTAAGAACATTCTTGAAGAAAATATACTCTTTATAACAGTCTATTTCTCCCTTACCTTTAATACTGCTCCGAAATATGGGGAAACACGTACTCAACAAATCTACAAAAAATAATAACATCCCAAAAAAAAAGTATTACGAATAGTCTGTGGTGTTGGTAAATATGAACACACAACTCCCATATTTAAAAAAACTCAATCTATTAAAATGTGTTGAGATAGTACAGCTTAAAACAGTACTGATTATGCACAACATTTTCCATAACAAAATGCCTAATAACATTCAAAAGCAGTTCCAAACCACAGCGTGAACATATGAATGTAAAAAAAGTCACTTGAAAATAAGTGTTCACAATGTTTATATGCAATTATGCATATATTATTATTATTATTATTCATTTGCCAAGTACATGTGTACCTATGTATATATTTATGCATAGTATTTTAATTTCCAAAAAAAGATAGTTGAAACTGCTATTGACATGTGCAGAAAATGACCCTATATCTAGTTTTCGTATATATATGCATTTATTGTTTTCCTGCCCTAACTTTTATTTAATTTTTTCTCTTGTTTTCTTAATTTTTTTGTACTTCATTTCTATACATTTTTGACGCAATAATGCCGCTGTATTAGGATGATGCACGGGAGGGCTACTTTCCACAAGCTATGCTTCAGCCCTCCCGCTTCTACTAATTTTGTTCATCTTTGTGTGTATGAATTCAACTTTTTGGGTTTTTCGGATGAATACAAAAAAAATACTTTCAGCTTGGGGGCCCCCTAGTGGCCGCGGGGGCCCTATGCCCCCGCATAGTCCGCATATAGGAAGAAACGGCCCTGTATACATAATATACTTATCTTGAAGGGCAATTTTGGCTCTGATTCATACTGAAGCCATATTTTTCTGATTAAGTTGTAATGGTAAAGAGTGGGGCAACAATCATACCTGTAAGATGTCCTGCTGTCATTTATACTCTTACTGTGAGCTGAGTGCAGGAAACGTGTGGGAAATCACAAAAGTAGATGTGCAACGATATGGTTATTGTCATATTAAGGACAATAATTATTTTTTATTTATACCAAAGCCATTTGAGCCACATTATAATGATCAAGGTGAAATGCAAATCTTTTAGAAACTCACACTTTCTGAATCTGAATTCTTCAAATTCAGATTCAATTTCAAAATAATATAAAAAATACTTCATCAATATGCTGTCATCCACCATGGTTGCCTAATTGTAGCACGCATAAGAAAATGAAGACAATAATGGATGTATGATGTTTCTGATTAACAGCCATGATGTATTTACCTTTACCGAACCAGGAGATTACATGTAAAAAGGGAAACCTAAATGTGTCTTTTAATTTTAATCATGCTCTTACTTTAGAAAAAAAAATGTTTCCAACTTTCAAAGCTTTGGATATTACAGATCATGAAAATTACGTGAATGTACTGATTATTTTTTCATGAAATGTGACTTTAATTTCAACTTTTGTCCATGCATTCAGACTATAATGTCAATTTAAATCACCCTTCTTATTTGAGACACTCATTAGGGATAATTATTTAACTACATTTGCTCTTAAAAATCAGGTAATGTGTTGGTCTTTGTGTGAAGCTGCTTGTGTGAGGGTTTAGATATTACTAGGCACTATAATTCCTTTAGATCTGTTACAATAGACCAGAAGACATAATACTATAACAACCCCTGATGCTTTATTCAGCTAAAGATTTACCGGAAAAATATGTGACGCATTGCATTGTGGTCCTGGAAAGGCATATTTTGTTGCTTATGCACAAATAAAACATGTTTAAATCTTGATTTATATTCTTTATTATCTGCAATGAAAGCAAAAACATCATATTCTATTACTGCACAAGACAGATTTTAAAAAGTTTCTGTGAAAACAAACTTTAATAAATAACAGTCTTGCTTTGTCTTTGGAATTCTGATATTACTTTGTTTGACAGATCATGAGCAACACAAGTGGACCGCATTGATAATCAATCAATTCCTGGGAGTCATCACACTCATCCCCACCCATGTCATCCTCCTACACTAATCTCTCTATCTTCTATAATCTTCCACTTTTCTTTATTATTATGAATGAAGGCTCAACAGTGGAGATCAGGCAATAAGCAAGAGGAACGCAAGATAGCCTATTGTTTTTGCAGTTTAGTCGAATTGTTAAGGCAATTGAGGTGTTGATATCAGTGTAACAAATGTAAACAAGACTGATGACTGATCGAAATGGTCACAATAATCTATGATAGTTAGTTACTTAAACTGTGAGATATGAAACAAAAGTATGTCCTTGTGCGACTGCTCACACATGCACTGGCATTATCTCAACTCCCAAAGGAAGCATTGAATAGATAATGGAACGCCCTTAAACATCCGTTAACATGATTCTACGAATGGCAGCTTCCCTCATTAGACCTGTCAATGAGAAAATCTGTCAAAACAAGCAATTGCACAAATTGTGTTGCATTATCAATGTTCTCCAACAGCAACAGCACAGTCACTAGCATTATGCATGGCTGTGGCTATTTGTAGCTCAAATACCTTTAATTCATCACATTTAGGCCTACATCTAAACCATCATCCAGGAGATAACTCATTCATTATATGTAAGATGTATTTGTAGCACTCATGTTGTAACAGATTCTA